CGGTACTAGTGCTAGATCTAGCCCTAGAACTACGACTCGGGCCGTGTTCGGGTACATATCCAGGATCCTAACTATTAGACACATCATATTCTGAGACACTAGAACTAGTAAAACGCACAGAAGTATAGAAAACGGCGAAATTATGTGATTCTTGTTCATGCGACTTCTTCGACCGTCACTACGACGCGACTGTCGGATTACTATGAGCTGTATAGAAAAAAACAAAGCGCGAGTTCCGATCTGTTCAACCCCAGTTGGGGTCACTGTCCTTCACCTTCAATAACTTAAAAACTACCGGCCCCAGAGATACGAAACGAAGTCTAAGTAGCTCAGGCTTGGCCAAACAAGGGTACGAGGCGGGTCTCGCGATCCGTGCGTGATTTGTAGAGCGAAAAAAAAATTCCAAAGTTGGTCACGCAGGGCTTGTGAGACCCGTCGCGAGCGTCATGGCGGGGGTCACGCAACTATTGTGTGACCCGTCTGAAGTGAGTTAAGTTAACGTGACTCAGCAGCCCGCCGGAGCTCCCCAGCTCGGGGTCAGGGGGTTAATGAGCCGTGAAGCAACTTTGCCGGTGCCAGTAAAGAAGTTCGCATTTTCGTCTTCGTTTGAAACGATACAATTTCTTCCCTATCCCACGCAGCAAACCATTACAACATTACATTGATGTACTAAAAGGCCAATGTCTTATTTATTCTGCCTTAGAATGGTTAATTTCTGTGCCTTAGGTTTTTTTCTAAATAAGTGTTTGTAGAGTACCCAATTTGTCCTATTTTAGTCACAAACTTATGAATAAATGATTTTTTAAATTTTAAAACAGCACAACAGATTTCTCCGAAATCTGTGTTCAACTGACTACGAATATCATGTCTTTTAGCATGAGAAATCTTAAATCTGCGTAAGTAATAATAATCAAGTTACAAAAGAAGAAAGATGCACATCTGCATTTTTTAACTAAAGACACTCAGCATTAGCTCTTGTTTTACCATTAAACAAGAGAAAGTTACTCTGCGTTTGTTCATGAATCATGCTATGTCTGTGGCAGCCTGCATACAACTAAAAAAGATATACAAATTTTTTAAAACACAAACTTGTGTAAAACTTGTATGGAATAAAAATAATGACTGCTAACACATTCATTCTTAGTTTATGTATCGGAAATATGCGCAGACACTTATGAATGTAAAGAAATCAGAACATGGTCAGTTATTGTAAATGGTCATAGAAATGAAAATAAAAGCTGGAAAAGTCTGGTGCTGATTCACTGTCACTGGAAAGCTAGAAATTATTCTTATAACCCAATTACGAGAAGTAGTTCCTGTTATTCAGTCAACTTACAAAACTTAGACTTAACATTTTAAGAAAAGTAAAAAATTTCTGGAGTGTAACTGGTACTGTTCGTCAAAGATAGTACATGACAAGATGGTCCACTAAGCCCAAAAAGTGTCCACCGAAAGTCCACTCTTTGCTTCAGATGGCGCTGCAGTCTTGTTTTGAAGCTCTCTTTGGTTTCTCCAGAAGAAGAATAGGAATAGCACCTTGCGTGCGCAGATCGATTGCTGTTCATCCGCTGTTCGGTTTGTTCAGCAAGGAGGTTTAGGTTTTTTATTTTAATGACCGCTCGCCTTTCATTCTTATGTCAAATTAAACGAAGAAAACAGTCACCCTTTCCTCCGGAAGAGGTTTTTTGTCAGCGTAACCATTTTAAAAAAGCGTTCTTCCAAAATTTGAATTCTTATTAATTCAAAAACTTGTTAGTTTCACTTTGATTTTTTTAACACAAGTAGGGTAACTCTATTCGCAAAGGGTGCGCATTTGCAAAGAGGGCGCCACCAAATTTTGAGGACACTTTTTTAATTGGCTCAAAGAGAGGAGTGGACCCTCTTGTTATGTAGACTCTTTGTGTTCGTGTATTGTATTGTAGATATATTCTGGCACTAAAATCGATTTTTTGTGTCTTTTTCATAGAGAGACTTCAGGGTAATTTTTATGAACTTTCGAGATTATATGTGAGGTATGGTGGTGAAATCAGGCGCTCGTCAAAATAACGAAACCGGAGAAAAGGGCATTTTTCCTCCAGTTTGGCAATTTTTATCAAAATTTAGTTTTTTTGGCTAAACACCTTTTATGTTCATATGAAAACACATTTCCATGTTAATTATACTGAAAAACCTTGTCTAAAGCACGGCGTACAAACACCGCTATTTTAGTTGGCTCGGCGATGGAGTGACCGGGTCACGGCGGGCCGGTCACCCAGAGGTTACTCACCCGACCTCCCGCTCCCTGCGTCGCTAGCCGGTGAAAAGAAATTTTCAACACGTTTTATCGTCTTACACAAACAAAAAATATCATACGTAAACACAAGTTTGTTCTTTAGAGAAAGCAACTAAACTTCTTTATTGGTAGGAAATAGCAATACCATGGCTGCTCATGTTTTGGAGTTAGATGCTCTTAAAAAGTATGTCTATTTATAGTTAGTCAAAACAACAAGCACATATTGAGTGGCTAATAACTTATAAGCCTAATGTTAAATATTTACAAAACTGCTACGTATAACAGGAAAATGTGTTTAGAAATTGACTCACTCTAGATTTTGTTTCCAGCACGAACATGGAACGTGTCATGAGCATGATAGCCAAAACGCTTCCCTGCATTCATGACTTTTTGTATCCAATGAAATGTGTATCCTCCTAAAGAATGATATACTGACATATCTTCAATACACAGCACCGATTTCTTTTCACAAAATGAACATGTACAGAATAAAAGTATAAATACAATTTTTCTTTCTAAATATATTCAGCAGCACGCAATGAGGGTGTTATTTGCAGCAAAAATAAAACGCATTATGTCTATCTGGTTTGGGATCCTTCGTGCTCTGGCTTCCAGTTTTGAGGTCGCCTGGTGGCTGCTTTCTGTGTCCTGTTCTCCCAAAAGTCCGAGAGCAAACATGTTTTGTTGTATGTGTGGAATACAGTGTTGATTTGATATGTGTTGCTTTGGGATAACTTTGCAAGGAAATAACGTCTAAATGCGGCCATGTAATTGTCGATTTCTACGAGGATTTCTGGAAGTCAAAATTGTTTGACTAGTTTGAGATGTGATATTGCAGTGTGAACATGGCTAAATCTTTCATTGAGAAGATTAAATATTGCTTCCAGTCCACTTGTTTCAACAACTTTTTTGCGGCATGAATTGACGTGACGTAATACCATATGTCCTTTTGATATTTGAAATCGTGGTAAAACACTTGACACAAATTTTAGCGGAATGCGACTGTTCATCTTCGTCCCTCACATTAATCCCGTAAATCAAGAGAATATCTCCTGACATTGTCTTACACAATCGAGGCTTTGTTTACTTTTTTGTTTGAGAATTAAATTTCAACGCCAAAACACCCGACAAAGTTCATTCAGAGACTCTCTATGCCTCTCATATGTGTAACCGACCCATTGCAGTTTAACAATTTTCACTTAGGAACACAATTCACTAACTGATTGCCAGTCACTGCAAAGTGCTGGAAAAACAAAATTCACATCATTAGAAAATATGATTTGTTGGCTATCACACCGCGCAAACAGAAATAAACTCCTCCATTGTTGCGTTTTGGAATGATTTGTAATTAAATTTGAAGAGATCACATTATTAACGGCACTTTCGATCGCTTAACACTCACAATTTAAAACTGTTATTATTCCCAAACGAATCAATGAAAACTGTTGAAACTTTCACAAGATACCAAGATGTACACAAAGCGGAATTGGTGAAGAAATAGATTCTAGGGGTAGAGTGAGCATCATTTTACGGCTCATTGAATTAGGGGAAGAAACGCGTTCTGATAAGGACAAGATAGGACAGTGCTGTGCACGAGTTGACCCCAGTCAATCCCCGACCTGACGCGTGAAATTGCATGTCCTGTGACCTGCCGGTGATTTATGGCCTACCGCGGTGGGCCTGGACTAACTAAAAGATCGCTGAGACTGAATTTTGGACGCCCTGAAAGGCTCAAAATAATATGTAATTTTCAATTTTCAAGGACTCAAGTAACTGAAGTTACCAAACTTTTGGTGGCCATTTCCTCATTGGTCTAACCACTGAAACCAGGCTACCCCACCTTCTTCAATCACAAATGTCTTGACTTCTATTCAAGCTAGATGGATATTGTTTTAATTGAAAGCAAGGCAAATGAATGAACATTCAGTTGATATCAATAACTCCACATTCCCAAAATTTGACGAGCACCTGATTCCACAACGTCGGGATACATATGCGAATATTCACGATTATATTAGACACATAAAGTTGTATTTGCAGAAATTACTTCATAGCGAATTGTGTGCCAGATTAATAAATTGCAAAATTGCAGCTTTCTGTTATTTACGCAGCTACCATCTTTTCTGAGTTTATACACCAATGTTATGTCATTCATGTTCCTAAAGTTCGAGAGTTTTTGTCGTGCCGGTTAAAAAAAAAAAAAAAATTTCCATTCACACTTGTCCCAAAAATTTTACAATTTAGCATTGCCGACTTCAGCGCGTCTAACGAAATAACCAGACAAGTTACAATGTCCGTTCTTTCTTTATTCTCAAGAGCAGAAATGCATGCTTTGGGTGCATTAAATGATAATTACCATAAATATAAGGCTACACCTAAAATTGTGCATTGAAATGTACCAAAAATTAAGTCTGCCCAGAGCGGCGACAGGAAGCTGACCCCTGTGACCCTGACGGGATAAGGCACTCGGCAGGGAACCCCCTGTTGCAAATAGAATTCCACTGCCGGTGCTCCGTGCAAGGTTCATGCTTGTGCGCAACATGAACATTTTTATTTTTTACTGTGTCATGTGGTCCAGTTTTCAACTCCTTTTGTCATAATTTCTTTCTTTTTATGTGAGTTTACTTTTATTATTCATTATTGTATCTTTTTCACTCTGTATATTTGCTGCTTTCCTGAATTCATAGTGAGACTGTATTGACTGAAAAAAATTTTTTTTTGCATAAAGAACTGTGATAGCCGTGGACGAAAAGCTGATCAAGTCTCATATGGACAAACTGAAGGCCAAACCTCGTATTGAACTGGATGAAGATGGTCTCCAATGGACTCCTGTAGTGAGCAAGTCCTTTCTCAGTGACGAAGAAGAGGAAGCAGATAGACAGGTGAGCCTTAGTCCTTGCAAAGTTATATCTATAGATTTGTGGTATTTGTGTCTAGTCTTGCCTGCAAAGTGCTTCCCTCTTTTTTTCACTCCCCTTTCATATTGATTCAAGTATCTAGCTGTAGTTGGATGTTTGCAGCCTGGTGTCTAGGCCTAGATTGTACCTTTAATGTAATCTTTTGAGCATGTGATATTTTCAAGATGACAAACAATGATTGATGGCACGATTTTATAATTAAGGTTAGATTTGTGGGTTTTTTAAAAAGTAGTTAATTGAAACAGTTTCAGGTTAACGGACGACAATTGTGTTGGAGTTAAATGCTCTTAAAAGGTGTATCAGAGTGTTTGCAATAGTTAGGAATATTGTTCATTGTGTTTTCACTCTTTTTAGACTGTGGTGCTTTTGAATATTTACATTGTGTTGTATCACAGAGTAGCTGTTTCCCTACCTTTTATGAAGTTTCAAGTAACTCTTTACGTTACGGTAGCAAATCCGACATTCTTTTGATGTAAGCACATTCAGTTGGGTTTTTTTCTGTTGTATATTGTAAGAAGTATTACTTGGTAGAAATTTTAAACAGCATCTCTTTGTATCTTTTAATTTGAATTACAATACAAAATTACAGAATATGTTGTTTTACTTGTATGACAGCATTTGTATGTTTTTGCACTATGTTAGTTGTACTCGCCCTCCTCAGTATGGCTTTTTAAAAAGTATAAGTGAACTTTCTATCTAGATTGTGTTCATTGCTGCATGATATATTGTGGTGTTCTCAGATTTGCCAACCTGCACAGATTTCATTATCTCCTTAAGAGTGTTTATTAATCTTTAAGTGTTCATTAATTATTTTTTTTAAAGAAAGGAAAGCCTGTATGTAACTACATTCGTCTCAGATTTTTTTTCATGCTTCTCTTACTGTTTTGAAATTGAGGCCTTATCGGTGTTCTGTAATATATGGGAACAGAGTACTGTCTTTACATTATTATGGATTGTATTTGTACTCAGCACTTGAATCTGTTATTTTGAAATGGTTGTGGAAGCATTTCTTTACCTTTTCCTGGGTTCTCCATTGAGGGTCTCTATTGACAAATTTTCATTTCTCCAGTATTAAGTTCGTTTTCTTTGCAGTTTGTTCAGATCTTCTGTCACCTTCAAAGTCATTTCTTTTTACTAGGGTCGACTTTTCTTCTTTTGATTTAATAGTTCTGGGCTAAGAAATGCGCTTTTTTTGGATGAAGGATAACAAATGAAAGGTTTTTTTTCTCCTTTAAAGAACCAGAAGAGGTTGGCAAAAGCTGGATTTTAGATGAGCACCTGTGTTTTTTTTTTTTTAATGTCCTCTATTTTGGCTTATGTTTGCAAGTATGTAATGTGGTGGTTCCTTTTCATGATTATGATGTGCTTTTCAATTTTTTGTTTTCTTATTCCATCTCCCCCTCATGTTTTTGTACTACCCCTTGCACTCCCTGGCATGAGTAGTTGAGTGAAATGCGGGAGGTAGTAGAAAGCATAGTGGTGGAACGTAGGGAAATGCATGAAGAGGTAAAGAATTCCCCACACAAGGATGATGCCAGGATTGCTTCCTTGTGCTCCCCTTGCACTCCTGAGGATGACCAAAGGGATAAGGTAACTTGAAAGATATTTTCTTTCTAATTTTAGCCTAAATGAGCTGACATAATGTTATTATGGAGTTCATTGCCAAACAAATAGAACAAGTAGTCAAGAGATTCAGTATTCTTAAAGATTTTTGCTAGATTTGTTTTTCCTTTAGTGTGTGTTGACAGTACAGTTAGGCTTGGAAATGGTTGTCAATTTGTAGGTTTTGCTGTCATCTCCTGTTGATTTAGTGTACGACTCCTGTCTTTAAAAAAAAGATTAAATTGACAGTTCCTCCCCTTTTTTGTCTGGTTTTATCAAAGCTGTGATGTAGTGATTTCCTATAAAGTTTATTTTAACTATTTGGGTGTTATACATATCTTTTCTCCTTTTCCCCCTTTCTTGGACATTCCAAGATATTTATCTGTTCATAGTGCACTTTCCTTATTTCCTCGAAACTGCTTATTCTCATGTTGAAAACACTTGCTTTTTTCTAGTTGGTAAGCTCACATGCATAGATGACACAATCTTGGGATACTATCAACTTGGATAAAAACTTAATTTTGCTTGTATTGAAATATAATCAACACATTTTTTTGTTCAAGTGATTAGTGCAGGTGTCAGCGGTTAAGGATTTTTTTCTTCTGAAAAGTACAGCATAAAGTAAACATAAATTTTCTTCTCAGCATTTATTCCCTCCCCACCCCAACCCATTCATTAAAGATATGCATGTAGTATTGGATCTTGAATAACCTTTTATTTTCATTCACTATTTTTTCATGCGTAGTTAGCATGCTCATGCTGCTTGGTATAAGAGGATGCTGATATGACACTACCACCTGTCTTTTTTCTTTTTTTCTTTAGTTTGCGATTCTGTTACAGATCGACTGCTACGTGTAAGGCTCCGTCATACGTCGCTTTTCAAAGTGGCATACGGTGGAGTCTTACACTAAGCAGTGGAAATGCTTTCAGAGGTTAAGGAGCTTAGTTCAGGAACTAATATTTTATTTTTGGCTTTTTACTATCATGATGCAGGGATCCAGACAAAGAACTCGTTTGCACAACTTATCTTTCATTGAAAAGTCTAAAATCGCCCCAATTTCATCCCGTGGATCACTCATTTCAGGAGGTTTCCATCCAAATATTATGTTCTTATTTTCATTTTCATCATAATCATTGTATTTTCGTCTAATTTTTCCCACTTTCATTCCTTTTTCTATCTTTGCTTGGAAAAGTTGTTATTGCACAATGACTGTTCACTACTTCTATTCTCAAATTTATTTAATTCACTTTCAAGGTTCCCCCAGGATATTCAGGGCAGACAAAAGTAGAATTTTGCCTTCATCAGTTTGGTCCTATGGTATAATCCAACCTTTTTCACCCATTGGCATTAACGGTCGGTGAAGTAGTTCCTATTTTGCTGGCCAGATCATACGATAAAGATTTATTAAGTAAAGTTTAAAGAAATACATTTATTGTCTAGTTTTAAAGGTTAGATGGTATGTTATGTGCATGATATCTTAGGTCTTAAAATTGTGTAAATCCAGCTAATAACACAGAAGCTGCACACTTTCTCCTTCTTAAGCAGTTCTCAGCTAGCGTATCCCATAGTCATACTGGCCAAATACTCTGAATAAACCTAAGTTTTTTGTGCTTCTCGAAAGACCTGGGTTTTTTAATAGCAGAAAAAGCATGGAAACTGTTATAACATGCCAAATAGACATCATTTGTTTTTGTACCAGAGTCACTTCAACAGTTAAATGTAAGTTCATCACAGGCTAATTATTTGTTTTTATTTGCAACAGTCAATATATTCGATGATCTTATCTTTTGGAGTCAGGTGATTTTTATTTTTTTCCTGAATAAAAAAAAAAAGAGGAATCAAGGGGGAAAATTATCCTTTTTTTACTGTTACGTGATTGATTGTTGGGCATGTTGCAGTTTGATTTTTACTTACATGACTATCTTTCCTTTGAAAGCATAGCTTCCCATGTGTTTCAGACAGACCCTTTTCAAAGGGGTTTTGTCTTTTGTGTAGATGGGTTTTTTTGGAAATGGAGCCTGAAGCAGATCTGGGTTTTTCAAGTTTCAGGATTTCATCCCAGTGCTAAGATCCCAACTTTAAATATGCTTCACTTGAAAATTTAACAATATGCCTAAAGATCTGTTGCAATGAGGGGTGAAGAATTATCAAATGCTTCTTATCAAGAAGACTGAGATGAAAAAGAAAGCTTTTTTTTTCTGGGGTAAAAGTAAAAGTCATAAGTGGACACAACATTGGAAGAAAGCCTAATTTGAACGTTTTAAAGACCATTATGTTTTGTCAGTGTCTTCCTACCTGTGTGGGTTTCTTTTAGAGCTGATACGGCATTTGTTATATAGGCCTATTCTGTTTTTGGCCTCCCCGCAGATTGAAAACTTAAGGGTACCTTTGGTTTCTAGCAAAATGTGCTTTGTTTAAGATTTATGAAGTAGGTTAAGGTTTCTGTGAACAGATAGAGAAAGTTATTGTTAGTCTAGAAAATGATTCGTCTATATTTGCTAAAAGGGTTAAAGAGTGGGTTGTTTTTTTTAAATACTTCAGTTGTATTTTTATTTATCATTAGGAAGCAGCTGTATCAGTGATGTTAATAAAAAGTTTGAAAGTTCGTTTAAAATAATTTTAAAAACTTGATCTTGTCTTTGATAGGGTTTTTTAATGGAGGTTATTGTAATTTTTGGCCACAAATTGACATATTTTGATAATGTTGGGATTTAGAAATTTGTGTTTACCTGTGGGAACCAAATTTCAGATATCATTCACTCAGTCTGCATTTATTCTTTACTTTCATCATCAGTTTCTTTCGTAGTGGAAATTACTCTTTGATGTGTTGATGTGTTAGTTGTGGACTTTCGATTTTTGTTGTCCTATCGTCTTTGCAGTTTAGTGTTTCATGGAAGTTTTTTGTCTCTTGGAAAGGATGGCACTTTGTGTTCGGTGTGATGTATACCTCACTATCTTAAAAATTATAGAAAATTTTTGCCCTTACAAAATTTAAGTTGACTCCATGATGTGTTGATATCAGACTGCACAGTCTGTGGAGTTTGCAGTTTTTTAATGCACGCATGTTGATATCAGAGTACTTTTCTGTTCATTCTCTTTTAAATGAATGTTTTGGTGTTTGCGTTTTGGTAGGGCGACTGTAACCATGATTTTGTGCTTCCCAATGGGTTTTCCATATATGGCCCCTGAAGGAATTAGTGTTGTCTTTTTTGTGTGTGGGTTCTTGATGTTGGTTATGGGGAAAACAATATTTGTTACTCCCCAGCGACTGTTTTTAAAGACTCAGTGTTTTTGAGGCTCATAGCAATTCTGAATACAGAATAGTTGAACCTTTTTTACTTTAAAAAAAACAAACCTTGCGTTTATTCAATATTTTTCGTTTGAGGTTTTGGTGTGCTGGGCTTTTCCTCCTTGTGTGGTGTTGTTTAGATGGTTTTCGTGGGTTTTTTTCTTTGTTTGTTTTAATGGACTGTTTGATATTTGTTTATGTGAATTTAGTAGTGAGAAGATAATAGCTTAGCCTGAGTCTTCTGCCTCATAAACTGATTCTTATGTTGATGGCTGCTTGGCCCTGCACACATTTACATTTTCACCAAATAGATAACATTTCCATAGCTCTTATTCACTGATCTTCTTTGTAGAAATTATTATATTATTTTTCTTCTGTGTCTTGTAGTTTTACACCCCTGTGTAATTCCCTCTATGGCTTAACACATCCCCTAGCATCAACATGCGCCCACACCCGTTTTTTCAATATATATTGTTACTATTGTTACAGCACCTGTTGCAAATAGTTTTGTTATATTTTACAAAAGCACCCACATTTCTGCTTACTACTTGAGTATTTCTTTTTATATGTTGAGAGTTCATTGTCTGATCTGATGCACAGACACTAAATTTTATGTTGCTGATTGAGAAATGAACTGTGACATCATGGTTGACTTTCATATGCAAACGTAATCTGTTATTAATTTTTCTCAAAGGTTTAGTCGTCATTGTCATTTCATGCTGCATTTTCACTCAAAACGCATTTCATTACTTCTTCTCTGTAGAATGTATACAGAATTATGTTCATGTTTGTTTTATATTCAACATTGTATTATTGCAATATGTCATTTGTTTGTTTGCAGTGGCCGAGGCGTTTTGGACGAAAGCGGTTCCCAAGTATGACCTGGGGAGATCCAGACGCAAAGCGTGTCCGCAAAGTCGAAGCCAATAGTGATGGTAAGTTATTTTTCAAAGCTGTCAATTAAATATCTCCTGGCATCGGACAAGTCCATAATAGACCAAAGTGTCTGGATAATGGATGGTATGTTTTTTGTTTTGTGGTTGCTTAATACATTTTGGGTACAGGTTTTGTGTATGATACTTGACTCAGCAAAGGATTTTGTATATGTGTGTGTGTGTTTCTATTGCAGCAAACCTGTCTTAAAATGTACACATGTTTCAAAGGGTCAATTGACATTTTTCTCCCCTAACAAAAAAGAAAGGACAATGTCAGGAAAGTTTGAGAATTGATTGATTTAATCAAGGTTGTTTTTTTGTGGGTTTTTTTAGCAGAGGGTTTTATGGCGCTCGCAACTGCATAAGGTCATATGAGTGCCAAGGGGTGGGTGTCAACAGAGAAGTCCTTACAGGGAATCAGACTTACTCTGCTCACCTCTGTAGCTTCAACAACACAAGGTCTGCTTCGACTATCAAGGCTCCCTGGAAATAGCGGGTCACAAGAGAGTGACAAGCATACAAAAGAAGTGGAGGAAAATGACAATAGTAAGGATTAGGAAAGAAAAAGCAGCAGTTCCCTGTTGCAGATCAGGCACAGTTATGAGCGTGACATGAGTCAGCCCATTTATAATTTTACTGTGCTTGAATGAGAAATGTCCCCCCTTTGGGAATGGCCTAAAGACACTTCAGTCAGTGGCTCTGCCCGGGGGGGGGTGTTTGTTAATGTGACTGATATTTCCATGGCGTTGACACATGTGTTCCTGATGTTGTTGGGTTGTTGTTTCTTTGCAGAGAAAAGCTCATGCCCCTTTGAATTTGAACCTGAGGAAGAAGTAAAAATGGGACCCCCACCACCTCCATTAAGACCTCTACGGATAGATCGATCACCAGCTGTGGCATCAATAAGCTCATCCCCTCTTAGTCCTATCAGCCCATCACCTTTTCGGCCCAGCAACGATTCCCCTGTGAAAACACCTGAGAAAAGATCTTCAAGGAAGTCTATAAATGTGTCTGAGGATGATGCTCCCCCTCCTTTGCTCAATGGAAATGAGGAAGAAGACAAACCAATTAGGAGGGGTAGGAGAGGCCGTCGACCTGGAAGACCTTCCAAAGCCGTCTCAGAAGTGAAAGTACCTTCCCCTCCTTTACCGAAACCCGAAGGAAAGAAGAAGCCTGGACGAAGACCGGGCCGCCCACCAATGAGAGACTTGACACCAACCACACCAGCAGACACACCTCCGAGAAAGCCTGGCAGACCATTCAAAAGAAAACCAGGCCGTCCACCGAAAAAACAAGTTGCAAATGACAACAGCACCACGAATAGTCAGACTGCAATTAAAGCAACAAAACAGAAGGTCCCAGGGAGGAGACCTGGACGCCCAAGAAAGGTGAGGGTTTTGGATAAACACATTTTTTATTCTAAAAAATTAGATTTATAAAGCTTCTTTGGAGTGGAGAACTGAAAAGGCGAGATTTTGGTTTGTACAATCCGTGCTTTGCTGTAATTTGTGCATCTTCTGATACTTGATTCCCTGGTTATGGGTTGATGGAGTTTGTTAGTGGATGTGCAAATATGATACTAGTGAGTGGTGAGCCAAGTGGGCACATCTTTTGGTTTATGTCATTTGTTGTTGGACACTAGAAGATTCATGTGTCATGCGATGTTAATAAACAGTGCTTCCCATTTTCCACAAATTCACAGATTTTCGCAAATGGAAAAATTTCCATGAAAATTCATGCTAAAAAAAATAATTTAAAAATATTTTTAAAAAATGCTAAATAAACATTTTCCGTAATTACTAATTGTCAACAATTGTAGTCAACTCGTACCGGAAGTGCTCTTTTATATGAAAGTGTAGACAGTGTTGTTCACTTTCTAAAGCACAAGCAGAGCACCAGCACTGTAAACAAGAGGAAGAATTGTGGTTCAATAGATCTTGGGCCTGCCAAAAAAAGAAAACTCTAAAGAGAGCTTGATTTGTTTTTAGCTGACTTATTTATTTGTAAATATTGTTGTGGATTTAAGTTGAACATGAGCTGTCAAGTTATTTAGATCTAGCTGTTATACTATTATGGGTGTACAGTGCACGGGAGAACAGCATGGCCTTGGAGATTATATATGGATTCTACACATTATGGTGCAAACCAACACAAGCAGAAAAAGGTTGAACATTAACTGTCAGGTTTTATAGATCTAGCTGTTATACTATTGTTATGGATGTACTGTACTGGTACAAGGGAGAAAGCATGGCCTTAGATTTATGTGGGTTAACACAAGCAGAAAATTATGTAGATCTATGCAAGTATGTTTTTTTCTCACTTATTTTCTTGTTAAATTTAGGCTTGAATAGCCAGAACTGGCATATTTAGGATGCCCTGAAACAAACAAAAAAGTCTCAAGCATTAGGGGGACGCTATCCCTCTTCAACCTCCTGCCCGAGCGCCATGGACCCACGTCAGCTGCTGGAAGCTCTTAGTAAAGAAGAAGGGATGGACAGGTGGTGGGTCTCATCATGTAGACTTTCCCAGAGTAGCCTATGCTGAAGTGAGATTATGATGAGTGAATTAAAAGTATTGGGACCTTGGCTGCAAAGGGAACTGTGGCAGTTTTTTTCCTACTGGATTTTGTTAGCTTTTGATTTAGGAAGTAAATGGTCTGCTAACTCACTCTGAATGCTTTCTGTTTTAACGGTGTGCACTTTACACCCGGTAGCTGTATTTCGTGTACATTTGGGACAAATGTTGTTGGTTGATATATCCAGTATTTTCCCTGTACAAGTTATGAGTTATGGCATCAGTTAATCCACTCTTTGCTTTGTAAAAGTTTGGTGAACTTTTATGAGATATTTGTTTAGCTGTTATGGACTAAGGCAAGTCACCTCCGAATTGCGATAGAGCTCTGTGAACTGGATCATAAGCCACAGTCATTTTGAGAGTGGGTGAGCTTCTTAAAGACATAAATGAATTACATTTTATTGATCTCCGTAGGGAAATTTGGGTTACAATGGCAAACATACATACATAGTTAAGCTTTTGCCAATAGGTGGGTACCTAAAATGTAGCACAGAGGGTTGATGATAAAGTTTTTAATATTTCGTTATTCAATTCATGTATATCTCCTCCTACAAAAACATATTTACAAACCTACAGACGGCATGTTAAGCTGTGTAACTGGGGTTTCGTAACGTCAAGTCAAATTCTTTTGGACTTAACCATGATGACACATTTAAAAAAAATCTGTATATGCAAAATTATTTTAACAGTTTTCTTATTGCTTTAATTTTCAAACGTAAGCATGAAGAGCATTTAAAATGGTGAGGATCACAGAAACAAGAAATTCTGAATGCCACTTTGTTTGCATTTGTGTCATCATGGTTATGTCCGAAAGAAATGAAAAACTTTCTGCTTTCATATCTTCTTTTCTTTTATGAAAATTTGGGCAAACAACGATTCGGAAGATTCGGTTTGTCTCACAATGCATGTTAATGATGAAAAAATGCCACTTTATTCACATTTTACTATGAATCTCTGCAAAATATCTAAGATCTTGTGAACATAACCATGATGACAAAATGAAAAATACCCTGAAAAGTAATTTATGGAACATAACATTATTTTAATAGTTTCCTCATTGCTTTAATTTTCAAGCATAAGCATGAAGAGCATATAAAATCTCAGAAAAAAGAAAGTCTGAATGTCTTTGTGTTCGCATTTGTGTCATCATAGTTATGTCCGAAATAAATCAAAAACTTTCCATTTTCATATTTTAATTCCTTTTAAAAAAAATTTTTGCAAACAAAAGATTCAGGAGATTCAGTTTGACTCATAATGCATGCTAATAGTGGGAAAATGCCACTTAATTCACATTTGACCATGACTCTATGCGAAATACCTAATATCTTTCGAACATAACCACGATGACACATAGTGCATAAATGTTTGTCGTCATTTTGGGACAAATCATCAATTTACATCATATTTTCCCCTCTCGTTGACATCTAGCCAAGCACACATGGTTGCATCTAGATCTACCGCTACTCGACCATTGGAATGCAATGCGATGTTAAAAATTACTGAGTTTAAATTTTTGAATATAACATGTTAAGATTTGATGACGACATAAGAAAACTTTAATGGATTCGTCTCATCTATCGTTATTCTTCTCGTCGTCTTACATCGCACAACAGTACGCTTTGAATGGATCGACAGGGACAATGCACGCTCCTCCACCCCTATTATTTCTCGTTTTGTGATAGGTTCTATCGAACGTAACAAATGATGACAAGAGCTCGAGGAATCGCGGAATTTCCGTTTTCTGCCAAATTACGTACGGTCACGGCCTCGGAATCAGTCAGGGCCCCAAAATGGCCCATAGAAACCAAAGTCACGAGGAATCAAAGTTGCCTTGCGAAATGACTACACGAGTAATGCATGAAAATGAAATCTAGAAGGCTCACAAAGAAAAAACAGATATAGATATCATTATTCCTGATTTAGCACCACAAAAAAATGTAGTTATAGTAGTAAAAACGTAGAAGGACGAGTTTCTCAGCAATTATTTCTTTGTTGAACTTGACAGAAAAAGTACCAACTCGACGCATTACGTTTTACATTCTAAAAATATTTCGATTTCAAAACTAAAAATATTTGTAAGATTTCTTCTGATGGCCCGACTGCTATTTCTCTGCTCCCATAGCTGAAACATTACAACATGTACAATTTTCAAAGCTGTAGCACCATTTTATTGGAAGAGGAAAAGATTATGAAGGAACCCCAAGCTATTGGCAAAGGCTCAGATGCATAATTATGAATACATACATACATAAATACACAGTACAAAGCATTGTCACGATCATGTCATTGCTGGTAGTTTGTGTAGCACCCTTTTTTTAAAGCTCAGGTTGTCATGTCTTGCTCAAGGACACACCCTAATGACTACCCATCAAAGATCTGTGTACCCCCCGGTGCAGTGCCACTGACTGAAGTGTCTTTAGGCCATTCCCAAAAGGGGGAAATACCTCGTTCAAGCATAGTAGAATTGTAAATGGGCTGACTTATGTCACGCTCATAACTGTGCCTGATTTACAGCAAGGAACTGCTGCTTTTTCTTTCCTGATCCTTACTATTGTCATTTACCTCTATTTCTTTTGTATGTTTGTCACTCCCTTGTGACCTGCTATTTTGGGGTGCCTTGATAGTCAAAGCAGACCTTGTGCTTTTGAAGGTAGAGAGGTGAGCAGTCTAAGTCTGATTCCCTGTAAAGACTTCTCTGTTGATACCCACCCCTTGGCGCTCATATGACCATATGCGGTTGCGAGCGCCGTAAAACCCTCTACTATACTCTAAAGATCTGTGTCACTGACATTTGCTTGACGTTGCTTTTGAATCTGACCTCACTACTCACATACCCACTGGAGCCCCCTAAATGGAATTTGTTTAAAGTGTTTCAAAGGTCTGATAGTTTGCTAAAAGGCTATTACTCTAACAAAGATCCACAATACTTATCAGGAGCTGCTAAATGTATGGATATTGGCTGTTGTTTAAATCATGAACAGTTGGATGAAAGTAGGAATCAGAACAGCTTCTCCTTCTAAGTTAACGCCAAGTTGGTGGTTCTAGTAACGATATCAGTAATTTATCTTTTTCTGGCACATCTAACAATATGACACAAAGTGGTGAGAAAAGGGCAGTAGCACCTTAGTGTGGTCTCCAATCAGAGAGCTAGAGAGCTCAAGAAACAGCCCTGTCTAGCCATCTGCAAAATACGTTTCTGGGACTTTGTTTCTTGCTTCCACACCAAACTCAAAAACATCAGAGACAATTAAACTGATAATGTGAGTGGTTGGCGGGTGCTCTAGTGTGGTTTGCTCCTTCTTTCCTATCAAACATCTATCATCTTTATCACCCCTCCTTTTTTGTGTTTGTTAGTGGGTGGTTGGCGGGTGCTCTGGTGTGGTTTGCTCCTTCTTTCCTATCAAACATCTATTGTCCTTATCTCCCCTTCTTTTTTTGTATGTTTGTTGTAAACACCTCTAATCTTCTGGCGCTCATATGATCTTATGCAATTGCGAGCGCCGTAAAACCTCTACTAAAACTAAAACTGTGTTTGTTACTCCCTTGTAACACCTCTAATCTCTGGCACTTATGTGACCTTATTGTGTTGCAAGTGCCGTAAAACTCTTTACCTAAAGAAAAAACAAAATGAAAAAAACTGCTTGCATGTTGTTGCTGTGTTACTCAGAAAATGTCCTTTAACACAAGAAACAAAATAAAGCTTTTGTTCCGTTTACTGTTATATGGAACAGTAATTTTCTGTAGTACAAACTAGTACTGATTTTTTTTGTTAAATTGGGGGGACCTCAGATATTACCATATCAAAATAATTATGGTTATATTTTCTTTAAAATATTCAGTCAAATTAGATGTTACTTCTTCTGTGAGTACATTTCTTTCTTTTGTTGCTTATCATAGTCTTTTTGTGGTTAACTAACAATTACAGACTAGTGCTTGTTGGGCTCAAGTGGGTTAAAGGAAAGTGTACATTTTGGATACAACTAATACTTTCACCAATGCAGAAAGCATTTCTCAGATAATAGTAACCCAGAGTTGCATCCTATTGTCATTAAGCTTTTACCACACTCGCAATCTGTTGATTTTCCCCCAGAATGTGGCTGCAGTTGTTGAGAAGGAGACTGAAGAGAATGACACAGGTCCAAGTCGGCAGGAGAGTGACAATGAGGTTGAAGCGGTGAAAGAGAATGCAGAAGTGGGAGAGAAAGAGGAGGCTCCCAAGTCGCCTCCAGCGGAGGCAGAGAAAGAAGTGCCGGTCAGTGAAGTCCCCAGCAAAAGTCCAGAGGAGAAGAAGGAGACTGTGGAAGACTCCAGCTCTAGTAGTGGAGACAGCAGTGACTCCTCCAACAGTGACTCTTCCGATTCGGATGATGACGATGACGACGATGATGATGAAGGAGATAATGATGGGGACAATGATGATTCAGATGAGGAAGAAGAACGTAAAAAGTCAAAAATCAATAATGACTCGTCTGTAAAGAGTAAGGATGAAAGTTCTATATCTGAATTGAAGACAAAAGTCCGTCGTTTGTCTGCTTCTTCGTCAGATGATGATGATGACAGTAATGCTATTCCGAAGAAAAGTGACCTGACAAAAGCAAGAAATCAGGACTCTAACTCTCTTGACAAAAAGAGTGATAATGGAAGTGAAGATGACGATGAAAATAGCAAACCTGTGTCGAACACAGATGTGAGCAGTCGAAATAAAATGCTGTCCGACTCTGGCAGTGATAGTGAGGATGAGTTTAAACTGAGGGACAGAAAGGAAAAGAAAGATGAGGAGAACAAGGATGATGAAAAAGTATGTTCTCCTTTAGTAAATCGCCCTGAAGAGGATGAAGAGACAATAGCTGCCAGTCAGAATCTTGCTGATATTGTGAAAGATTTGGAAGAAGCAGAGGGGGAGCAGAAGCCAGGCAGTCCCGATGGGGATGCTGATGCCCAGGCAAGTGTTCCCTCAGAGGCACAGCCAGAGTCTTCCTCATTTGACAGTATTAATGAGCTGACTGATGATTTCAGCGACGGCCCTTCCTCGATTGGTCCACAGATTCCCTCATCTCCTCCTCCTGCCCCTGCCCCCGTTATGGTCAATAGTGATGACGATGAAATGCCTTCCCCTACTGGAAGCATGGGTGGTGGGCCTAGTCCTACTCCACCCCATTTAGCAGATCGACCAGACCAGCAGATGGGGAGGCATTCAGCAGACCCCTTGCTTTCATCACCACCACACCATCAACAACACCAGCAGAACATGCAAAAGCATCCCCCTCCTCATCTTCAACCTCATCAGCAGCAACAGCAACACTTGTCTCCTGCCAATCAGTCTAGTATGCCTGTGATAGTGCCAGCCTCCCCCATCTTGATATCAGCCTCTCCAGAGATGAAGACCCAGCAACAGCAGCCTCAGTTGTCTTCATCACAGCCTCTCAACAAACCCCCATCTGTGAAGGACTTGCAGCCTCAGCACGAGGACCCATACCAGAGTGTGGGTAGTGTGCAAGGGGCCCCTCTTCCCTCTCCCGCCCAGCTCACCTCCCCAGCCCAACTCACCTCCCCTGCCCAACTCACCTCACCAGTGCAACATCCGTCCCCAGCACAGCAACACATGACCTCTCCTGCTCAGCTGACTTCTCCTGCACAGCTCACTTCCCCAGCTCATCTCACTTCTCCTGCTCAGTTGGCTTCGCCCGTGCAAATGGCACCTGGGGGCATGATACAGCAACAGCAGCAGGAGAAGCACAGGAGCCCTATGGACACTTCCCCTGGCATGCCGCAGCCAAAGCCTCACACCAACACAAACATGACCCTGCCCCCGAGCAGAACCACTAAACCAGCTCCCTCAAGAGCCCAGCACAGATCCCGATCTCAGTCATCCGCCCAGACTCGCGGAGTGCCCCCTGGTTTCCCCCACCCACCCTCTGGTGGGCCCCCGCCGCTGTCCAGTATTCAGCCAATGCAACAAAACTTTGACATGAATGTTTCGCAGCTTGGCTTGGAGTCCCCTGCGTCGCTAAGTAGCGGCGACTTGAGCTCTGATAACCCGCAGCACGCCTCATTGAGTTCACTTAATTTTGATTGTGCTCAGAATATGCAGTATTGTAATAATGGTCAGGGTAGAAACAGCTTCATGGATACAGTAAACATGGGTGGCCAGCCTCTGCACACAGCCAGTGCTGCCACTACTGGAAGTTTCCTCAATCCAGTCCCCACTAGTGGGTATCACCACCACGGGTCCCCAGTCACAACTTACAGTCCCTCCATGCTCCCCCCTCAGCAACAACAGCAACAGAGGCAACCGCAGCAGCAGCAACAGCGCCAGCAACAACGCCAGCCACCCCAACAACAACAACAAACTAGTTCTCAGCAGTCACTTCAGCAACAACAACAACAGCAGCAGCAGCAAGCACAACAGCAGCAACAACAGCAACAGAATTCTCCACGCCTCATGACTGCTTCCACGCCAATTCCTATGGTGGTGCAGCAGGCAATGCTGCAGGGAGGGGGCGTGTACCAGACTGGTGGGCAGCAGCCCAACAACTGCGACCTCATCAAGCTCCAACAACTGACCAACCGCATTCAAGACATTCCCGTGGAAACACTCCAAATGACACCCCCTCAGAATATGACCCCTCCTCCGACTGCCATCATGACCCCGCCCCCAACTGTCATGATGAGGTCTATGACTACGCCTCCTATTGGGGGACCCTTGCCTCCAGCGGCCCTCATGTGCCAGCCTTCTGCCCCACCGTACAAGCGCGCCAGATCGTCTTCCTCCACATCCCGCAAAACCCCCAGTGTGCCCCCGTCCAACCCAAACGTGACTGTCACCTCCAACGTGACTCTCTCTCCCAACGTAACGATTCAGCCTGGTGGAGGAATGTTGCCCCGCTATCTGAACTACCGCATGCCACAGGGGATGCTGAACCCAGGCTACATCACTGCCAACTCAGCGGGCCTCCTGCAGCCCCAGCAGATCCCCATGCAGATGCCCATGATGAATATGAATGTTCACACAGCAGCTGGCCCACAGGCCGCCTTCCAGCAACAAGTTCAGCCGGGACAGCCGGGCAATCCGCCGGCTATGTATGCTCCGTATTACTTCAATGTGAACATGCGCAGATAACATCCGACTCTTCCTCTTGTACATTAGGCAATCTCTTCAGAGGCTGTTACAGTTACAGCATGCCCTCTTATAGCATCTGTGGTGGGGAATCTGGATCCCTGTACAATCTCTTTGTGACAGGATTGACCTGGTGATCAAAACAATAGACTTGAGATTAAAAATTCTCCCTCTTTTTCATTCAAGCAATTTTTATTTTCCTAGTCCTTGGCATGAATAGAGCAGAGTGCACCTTTGATTCATAACAAACAACTGAAGTTTGTAGTGTGATTATTTGTTAACTTTATTGGCAAAGTATGTTGTACATTTTGGCATTCTGTGTTCCACAATGAGAATGAGAAGGAAGGTTACTTCTTAATTTTTTGCGTACTGTAGATTTTTATTGCACATGTGTTGTGATGTCTAATTATTCACTCAAATTTTTAATGTGTTGTGACTGTTTGAGTTTTGGGGTTCTAAACCACTTGTCACTCAGGAGGCAGCAATGGTGTGTGTATTCATGTACAATGGTAAAATTCTTAATATGCACCACTCAAATGATGAATGTTTTGTTTTTAAAGAGAGTCAACTAGTTTGACTGCTTGACTGTCTGTGTATTCTGTCACTGTCTTTCCTTAGTCATGGTATTTGGCAATACAATCTGAGGTTGTAGCCACTTTTTAATAAACTCCTATACTGAGCGGTTGATCTTGCGTGTTGAGGTCCATATCCGCAAGGGCTGGGGAATGTATACCAAGTGCATCATGCTCTTTTTCTTTCTTTCTTTCTTTTTTTGTTCTTTTCCGTTTATTTTTGCTGTGTTTTTGTGAAAAGACAAATTATTTTCTTCTCATTTCTGAGCAGTATGTAGGTAGGTTGATTTTTTTCAGTCTCAAACTGATGTTGTTTTTCTTCCCTTGTTGACCGCAGTTGATGTGATCCAGATGGACAGGCTGGAACCACTGTTCCAATTGATTTTTTATTTCAACTAAATCTATGCATTGGACTAAGTTGAGTCTTGTTTGTGTTCAGAATGTTCATTGATCATTTCAAGGATTTTTTACCCAAACCCCGGTTTTTTCAAGGTCAAAATCAGATTATATATCTACTCTCTCTCAGCACTGAAATGTCATTGTTTCAGTTTACATGGGTCAAGCCAATCCCAGTCAACATTTGTCTTTGGGAGTCCTGTGACAGAAGTGGACAAACAAACAAAAATTAACTATTCTTTGAAAGAAGTATTGATGATGAAGTCCATTTAAGTTTAAGCAGTCCATTGAAAGTGCAGAATCTCAACCTTTTAAAGAATCATGTCTTTTACTGTGGTCTGTAGTTTGGCGCTGAGTAAGTGTAAATTTAGTGCTCCTTGCCACTTGGCCCTTTCATAGTTCAGAATGTTTATGTTGATTCATAAATACTTTCTTTCCAGTTTGTTCTTGTCTCTTGCTTACCTTTTATAAGTGTTGTGGTTTGTTATTAGTAGTCTCAGTCCTTGTTCTTTGTAATGTAGTGTTTTTTTGTATGTTTACACACAACTGTTTATACAGGCATATATAGTACATATATATTTAAATACATATTTATGTCTCTACTCTGCGTAAGGACACACATCACTCTTATTTCCAAGAATGTAGTCAGTCACTGTACATTATTGTCCTCTCCTTTTGAACAGTTGCAAAGTAGATTTGTAGTTTCGTCTTTTTCTGTGATTGTGCGATGTAAAATCATGTTAGTTTGTAAAAGAGGACCTTTTTTGTGTGACAGGAAGCCCTTCTCTGTTGTAAGTCTCCCCAAGTAATTATAGCAGTCATTTCGATGTTGTCTGTTCTTGATATTACCACAGAATAACAAAGCACAAGTGAAATTTATACTATCCTTTGTTGACAAAGAGGAATAGTGAGACAAGAAACGTACAGATCTTTGTCATGCAGTGGGACGTTACATATTACATATATGTGTGAGTGGACGGAACTAGTTTTCCCTCAAGTGGTTTATACATCACAGGACTCTGGAAAAAGCACAAGTATGGGGGATCTGGATTTGTATAATGCAGAGCAAGGGGTGGTTGGAAGAGCTACTTAATAATAGGCTCAAAAGTTATTGGGGGGGGAAGGGTGGTACAGCTTACATCATCTTTTACTACACTTGCTGGTAGTTTTGTTGCTATCCTTGGCAAGACAAAAATGAAAGGCAGTGACCAAATCTATGTGTTGTCTCTGACTTTGCAATAACAAGTCAACCGACTAGAATATTGATAAATTGGATTGGTCTTCAACCCTTTTTTTTTTCATGTGGGAATACCTTACAAAAATCGTGGTATTCAAAGATTTTTTTTTCCAACTTCATTTTGTGCAGAGTCCCCTCAAATTGTGAAAATGTAATTTTCGGAAGGCACAGACATCTATGAATGTTGTGTGGATAGAAGTAGAAGAAATGAGATGAATTTAAGCAAAAGAGGTAAGTTGTGAGAGATGGGATAAAGATTGAAGTCGTGAAAGCGTTTGCTTTTACTAGGGTTTTTTTGTTTTCAGAAGTCCTTGTCTCCACTTGCCACATTTATGATGGGACAGTATAGTTTTGTTTATAGTGGTTACACTGAAACCAGGGGAGGACCTGAGCTGCCAAGGGATGCAAGTGTCTGGTGTGGGGAAGGATAAAGGTCGTGTAGGTCAGGTCTGTAGAGTTTTAGCCTCTGGAAGAAGTCATCTTTATGGGGAGTTTGTCTTATAAATTAGAACACAAATAGAGTAATTATCATGTTAACTGTTGTAGGTTTCAAGGGCTTGAGAGAAAAATGAGTATAGATTTACCTGTCAACTTGGGATTATGGAGCGACACTCTTTTCTGTCACTGTACTGGAAAGGATGTGTTTTTGAAATGGTAAGTGCTTTTTAGTTATATTGGAAATGTTCATAGGGCATACAAACAAATGGTTTACTTTAAATGGCATGAAATGTGACTGCGGTGTCACTTGATACTCTAACCTAACACATTTACATCAAGGTCTGTGGTGGCAGAAATGCGATGTAAATGTAAAAGGCAAGGAAATCCATCGCGCAACCTACAATGTTGTTACTTATTTGTGTTAAAAGTATTCATTTGTAGTTATACAATGTAATTGAAAAAGATCTAAACTGAAGGGTAATAGGTAAGTTTAGGAAGGGAGTTGGTGGGTTTAGTGGTGTTCTTCCTTGGACAAGAAGTGAAATGTACAGCAAGAATGGCTTTTATTTTTAGGGAGGGGGGAGCTTTTTTTGTTGTTTTTTTGGTAGGCTCAATGCCATTAGTCTTTTCTAGTTGATATTTGATGAGATGGCATCTTTTGTGAGCTAAAGTGTCGGATCTGCTTTGAACCACTCAGCTTTTCCTTGTGGCAGTTACCCTTTGTGTTGATGATTTCTTTCCCATATATGTAATGTATGTAGGGAGCTATGGCATTACTCACTCTCAGCTGGTGTGCCCAGTGCAGTTTGATCAAAGCACATGAGTTTATATCAGAGTGCTTGTGCTGGAAATGTCCATCTTGTCTTCGTTTTTGTCTGTTCTGGTAACACGACTAAAGTCTTCATAAGTTTGCTCCTGAATTTGATATTGATTTTTGGCAATATATCGATATAATATATATATATATTATTCAGTTTGTATACAAAGTAGGCTATACACATAGATGCATTTGATTGTACTTGATGCTTACTATGACAGTAAAATAAGTCTATTGCAGTTGATAAAGGAACTTTTAATGCTCCCATTGTGACTTCAACCTTTATCACATGTGAGCATTATGTGACAGACCCATTTTCCATCATAAATATAAGACGTAAAGAAATTAATTCTTTTTGTTATTTTGAGTAACTGGGAAAAAGTAAAACGGATTTAACATTAATGACAGAGGGGGAAAAAGTAGGGTGTGCCAGTGGTAGCAACCCCCCACAAAATGGTTCCTGTATTATAGTAAAATGACATTTTGGGAAAGTTCTATTTCTGATTTTATAGGCTGGTGATAAGTCAATGAATGGTATGATCATTGACTTGTGCCCCAGAGACTGGGTACAGTACTTGGGTTTCTTCCTTGATAGCTATGGTTTTTTTCTCTTTATTTTCACTCTCTATGTTCTTTCTAAGAAAGTTTGTCAGTCAACAATATTTTATTCTGTGTTACTCTACTCACCCACAACCATGCCTGCTCTTCTTCAGCGTTTCTGTATGGTCCTGTCATCTCTGTTGCCTTATTTATCCATCTGTCTGCCTTCAACCATTTAAGGTGTAACAGTTTACTGTCTTTGGTAACCATAGTGAATTCCAGAAATTTCACACAGGCCCGAGTTTGAATTGGTTTTTCATGCATGCATCTCATGGGCAGATTTTGCTTTCGATATCCTCGACTGAGAAAAAGAATGGTAGGCAAGGTATGTCAGACTCAGTTGTAGTTGTTTCTGCTTCAGTTTGGTACTTTTGCTGGATGTCACCATTTTAAGCTATGAATCATTGAGCAGAAATTAACGTTCGTTGAGTTCAGTTTGAGTCGTGAGTCACTGTTTTCAGGTTTGTCCGTTAGTTGCCGCTGTCTGTCAAGATGAAATTTAAAAAATCTATAATTATAGGTTCATCAGCAGGTATAGAGATAAATGCAATCACCTCTTCAGCCAAATGAATGCATTAAAAATTTGACCAGGACAGATGTTAAAGAAGAGTAGAAGTAGAAGTGAAAATATCAGTATTTTGCGTTGTGAAAAGCAAGTGCGTAAAAAATTGATTTGTAGTTTCTCTTACTGAGCCTAATTTTAAATTTGGGGGGGGGGGGGGGTTAATATGTTCACAACATTCCAAGTGTTATGAGTGAGTCTGTTCTCTTGTAATGGCAATATTTTGCCTACTGATCCCTTTTGGTAGATTGTCTGTGTAGTGAGGAGCTGACAGTGTGGTAATTTTGTATTTGTGCTGAGTGTTCATGTCATGTGTCATGAGATGAGACAAGCTTGTCTATATCGTTGTCTGTGTAGTGAGGAGCTGACAGTGTGGTAATTTTGTATTTGTGCTGAGTGTTCATGTCATGTGTCATGAGATGAGACAAGCTTGTCTATATCGTTCTCTCATAGTTGTCATCAGTGATACCTACAGTCTTGTTATTCTCTGCCCTGTCCCTGCTATGATATTTATGTGCATTTACCACTGTGGGGAGGGACTAAGTGTACAGTGTTTTTCCATCAGTGGCAGAGAGCCCAGTGCCCTGCCCTATAACCTCATGAGTGTTGTTCACTTCTTTCATGACAGCTGGGTTTTTCCCCCTGCCCCACCCTGCTCCCCATCTCCTTTACCCTTTTGTTTTCATATTTTGGTTGTATGTAATTACACACTCGGAAGTATTTGACATGTATGATGTGGAATTGTTTGAGAATAAATTATTTCACAAAATTTTAAAACTCATTTGTAAACATTTCTTTGTATTTATTGCACATTTTTTCTTTGTTCTACTACTCATGAGTTTTTGTAATTGGATGTGCACACTTCGTGCTGCTTCTCAGGAGCATTTCAACGTAATTCAAAAGTAATATTCAAGGGAAAACTAGTGGTTTGCAGTGGAATTTTCTCCTTCATATGTCGCCAAGACATGTTATGGACCCTCACACTTACATTAGGTCCAAATGATGTCAGGTTTAAGGAAAGACAGGGGGCTGTATCCTCACCTGAATGGGTCTCTGTTACTAAGTCAGTGGCTAGTATCATGACCAGACCCATGGGTAACACATTCACTGCCGTTAGGGTCCCATTGTCACACTAGTACCATGATGGCAAGTTGGGATATATATGGATACACTTTGGTGGCACTGGTGTCTACCTATGGAGAAAACTTACCTTTTGCCTCAGAGAATACTTTGTGTTTAATTTGCAGTCTTTGCTGTAAATTATAACTCTCAAAAAGACACTGACACTGACAGAGCTTGACTAGAGTTTATCAATCTGCCCTCTGGCAGAGAAAGGTATAGTGTTCACACATTTCTTGTTTAATTAAAGTTGTGGCTCTAGGAGCCCCTTATCGGCTGACATGAGAAGCAGTAAGAGTAAGAGGACAATGGTAGTAAGTAACACAGTAGTGAATGAATAAGGTCCCTGTCTTTCCCTGGCTCCACCATTGATGCTTATTTCAACAATGATCACTGATCTGCCTTTCTTTGTTTTGTCACCCATGCACACACTGTAGTGTAGCTCATGGTGAGTAATAATAATAATAATAATGAAGATCATTTCTATAACGCCCACTCCCGTGTAAACACAGCTCTAGGCGCTTTACATAAATGCATTTAAGAACAATATTCATGCACGCGACACACACACACATACACACACACACTCGCACAAAAATCCACACACCCATATACACACAAACACACACATATATACACATACACACACAAACACACGCATACACACTCACGAACACATAACATGCACACATGTGCGCACACAAGTTTGCCAAACACACACACACACACACTCACACACACGTACACACACACACATCTACTTGCTTTTCACATTACTGCAATTCACAAAATACAAAAATGGATACATAGACATTTACATAACATTGTATTGAACATGAATCTAATGACTTAAAAAGGATGTCATTAAATGTGTCTTTAAAGATTTTAAAAATTTAGACTCAGATGTTGCATGTCTCAAGGGTTGGGGAAGAGAGTTCCAAACTGACGGAGCAAGGTGGGCGAACGATCTTTCAGCTAATTTTTTACCGCCTTTTCTAGGAACTCTTAAAAGATACTGATCGCCTGATCTTAGTGATCTAGATGGAACATAAATCTGGATGAGATCACTAAGATACGAGGGAGCTTTGTTATTGACACATTTATGACATAATATTGCAATTTTATATGACATTCTAGCTGACACGGGAAGCCAATGCAACGTTCTTAACATGGGAGTAATGTGGTCCCTCTTCTTTTTCTTTAGTACAAGCCTAGCAGCATGATTTTGAAAACGTAACTTGTGAAGAGAGGTATTTGGTAAGTTAGCTAGTAAAGCATTGCAATAATCGATGCGTGAAAACAAGAAAGATGACATGAGCGTTTTCAACGAGTGTTAGTTCAAAAACATAGACATTTGACCAATTCTACGCAATTCACAAAATAAAATGGTACATAAATAATTGATATGATGTTTCATTGACAATTTTGAATCAAAATACACTCCCAGATTTTTTGCTTGATTAGTAAAATACAGTTTTTCATTTTCAGTACAAATATGATCAATGTCTACTGGGATATATGGCTTTTCTTTGGGTTACAAAAAAGAATTTCAGTTTCATTTTCATTAAGCTGGAGCTTATTATCAACCATCCACTTTTTGATGTCATCAATGCACAGACCCATTGTAGCAAGCAAGGTTTCAACATCTGATGGTGGAACAGATTTATATAACTGTGTATCATCAGCGTACATGTGATAATTCATTTTGTGCTTTCTAATCACAGCTCCAAGCGGCTGCGTATATAACGTATACAAGATTGGACCCAATACTGAACCTTGAGGCACTCCAAAGTCTAGCTTAAAAATTGACGAAAGAGAGTCGTGCACAACCACAGATTGTGTACGGCCAATCAGGTAGGACCGAAACCAGTCAAGAACCCTGCCAGACAGGCCAAACGTGTTGAACAATCGTTCAATAAGAATAGTTTGATCTATAGTGTCAAAGGCAGCACTAAGATCAAGAAGAGAAAGAATTGATATTTTGTTCTCATCCGCCTCACACAGGTCGTTGTTTATTTTCAATAGCGCAGTTTCTGTGTTATGAAATTGCCGATAGGCAGATTGATATAATTCATATAAATTGTTTTCTTTTAAATGATTCTTCAATTGAACCAAAACAACTTTCTTCAAGATTTTTTATAAAAAGGGAAGGTTGGAGACAGGTCTGAATTTCTTGAGCTCCTCCGGGGAAAGATTTGATTTTTTGAGAAGGGGAATAACTAAAGCATGCTTAAAGAGTGATGGTACTACTACTCCAGACTGAAGAGACTCTGAAGAGTAACGTCATTATGTATCATTGGTAACACCCTCAGTCTCAGCTGGGAATTCAAGGTTCGGATTTGGAATGGTCTTAAAATATTTATTTCTCCCAGAACATTTCCTTTCACCCTGGAGTTTTACCAGGACCAAGAGCTGTGTTCTACCAAATACATGTAGTCTATATATATACAGTATAACACAGATAGGTCGAACACAGAAGACTGGAAATCACACATCCGTCAAACTGTGCCTGCGGTCCCTTTTTTCTCTTCTTTATCCTTGTAAGATATAACTACGGATCCCTTGAACTACCGAGGCTGGTCCCGACGAATTTGAGCTTCCCATGTTATACTGTATATTTTGTTCACGGGGGCTGTATATATGCTATTAACAATATCAAAACATTTGTTATACTTTTTGCTTACTGGACCCACAAAGGTCATCATTTCACCCTGCATTCTAAAGAGTATTACATTCAAAATGCACGATGCACACAGTACCACCACTCACTGCTCGTGAGACTCGAACTTGAAGGCAATCCACAAACTCCACCACAGGACATAAGCACTCATTATACTGTGAGATTTGGCTAAACATAGCAGGCAAGCAATGGCTCTTGTTCAGATTACAAGTCTGTGGTATTGTGAGGTGTACTACTAGTGTACTGTTCCAGCAGAGAGTAAATACCCCAGATCTAAGGATGCTTGAGTTAAGATGAGCCGAGAGATGTAACTAAGTAATAGGTCGGCTCCTTCCCAATCTCCCAAACAACTTGTCTCATGGGAAATAAGTCTGGGATACAAAAAGAGAGGGAAGATCTTCAACTCACTTTTAAAAAAATGAAATCATTTCAGTTTCACTTTTTCCGGCTGCCCGTGCTAGCTTTCATCCTCTCTTCGAAATTTTTATCCATCTTCACATCTAATGAAAAATTTACCTAACTGGATGCAACCAAGACAGTAATGAGAATATGCAAGGTGTAACTGCAGACGCCACATTGTCTGCAAAAATGCAGTCCAGTTCTACTGAGGTCTAAATTTGATAACTACTAATACTAATAGTACTACTACTACTTAAAATTGGAGCCAGGCCTGGATAAGTCCAGGCTGAGTAACAATATTTAACCCTATCAGTACGTCGTGTTTTTACTATCGTATCCATACGTGGGGAACTCTGTGCCACCACTTTTCAAAGAGGAAATTTACTCGTTAATCCGATCTGTACACTTTGCATAGCAGTCTGTCAAAATCAAAATGATTTTTTGAGAAATACTGAAAGTTTCAAAGAGATCGCCGCACTAGAACTATTCTAAAATGTGAAGAATACAACCCCGGGGGTACAAAATTACCCCAAGACGTACGGATAGGGTTAACCATAGAATAGTAAAGCAGGAATTGCCCTCTCATTCAGAAATCTGAGAGCCTTTGAAGCTCACACATTCGTCCATGTTTAAAGAAAGGTTCACAGCCACTTGAGTATTTGTGAAAATGTAACATTTATTGTCAAGTGGTAAAATCAAGCACAATGAGGGCTTTGGCTGTTTAACCCAAAGCTTCAAAAAGTGATGACATGTACATTCTAAATTATTGTGTAGTTAAGTAGAGCTTATTCTTATAGACTGGTCTCAGAAGACTAAGGGTAGCTCTGATGTCCTTAAATGCAGAGCAGTTGAGTCAGACCAGCAAACAGGGAATACAGTGAAAAGGTACTTTTGAACTTTCTCTTTTGAACTATTTATTCCTCCCAGGCTGGTGTCCTGACAGGGTTTTAAGTGCTCCACCTTTCAAAAGATCTACACTGTGTCTAGTAGAGCATCAAACTTCAACAAAAACAATCAGCACAGTTGGAGAAACTGGCTCTTGTACTTGTCCTGATTTAAACCCTACCGCAAAAGGGTCTGCCTGTAACGAGCAGCAAGTAATAAGAACATAGCCTTTTCTAAAGTTTATGATAATCACATTGAGGGAAATCTTTTTTAAAGGCAATTGTTATTTAATCCATCTCTGCCCTTCAGTCTAAGCATGAGGTAATAGTCTCAGGATCTCCCCTTCTGTTGGACAGTTTCATCTAGTTTATTCTCCGTCTGCTCTCAGTCACTTTCAACTGCATAAGAATCTCCCTCTTTTTCATTTGTATGAGTGTCAAAAGAATCAGCCTTGTACTTTGTACTGGAGGAAATGATAGCACAGCGTTTCATTTGGGTGATCACACAGCAGGCACATTTGGGGACCACAAAAACTGGTACTTTGGCCGAGGCCATTATTTTCTTAACTTCATTATAAGTCACAGCACAACACATAGGCAGTCTTCTTAGCATACCAACAATCGAGGACTATTCTTTTCTAGGACACATTGTTGATCTTTGTCACGCTCCAGGCTTTGGAATTTTGGTCGGCAGAGTGCATCCTCTTTCCTTTATCACAGCATTGGCAGCAAAGTGTCCTGAAGCTACTGCACGTATTGGCTCCCCATCTTCAATGAGGCTAGCAAGGAAACCTGTGTGGAAAAGACATGCTATACAAACTTCTGTAACACATGATGGAGCAACAAAAAAACTCTAGTCTCAGGACATGATTATTGACGTTTGAGTCTGAGGCACAGAGCAACATAAAGAGAGGAAAGCCAGTGAACAGAAAGACCTGAGGGGGATATTAACTTTCAAAAAATGGCAAAAAAGCTTCCAACCAATGTTTTTTTAAACAAATTTAAAAAAAAAAGATAAACAGCTAGAGCAACTGTTTACTCCACTTATAGCTAGTTAGAAACTGAATAATAGAGCAGGGGGCCAGGATTTCAACCTAATTTGTTTGCAGAGTAGGTATCTCTACTCTGTTCCTAAAACTAAAAAGTGGGACATCCCATTTGTAGGTCCGTAGTGAGACCTTTTTATACCACAATCTTAGTACCAATTTATGAAAACAGAAAAACAAAAAGTGACTAATCTAAGACAGAAAAATTACTCTGCCTCAAGATGGATGAATAGATAGCCACCTTCCCCATCTTATCAATAATATTTAAGACATTTATTTAAAAGGAACTACATGAACTCAGTTTATATATATAATATGTGTGCATACCTGAGAAAAGGGTCTCTCTTCAAAATGAACGAAGCTTAACTTTCAAAAATCAAATACACCAATTCTAATATACATAGTGAGCACGAGCAGCAGGAAAAAGTGAAAAATGAAATAATTTCATGTAAAAAAAAAAAAGTAGAAGATCTTCCCTCTCTTTTTGTAGCCCAGACTTATTTTCCATGAGACAAGTTGTTTGGGACATTGGGAAGGAGGCGACCTATTACATAGTTACATCTCTCAGCTCATCTTAACCTAAAAACCTTTCAAAAACATAATATTTAGAAGAACAAAGGGCCTTAGATCGTTTCTTGAGGATAAAGTAAAATGGTCAATCAAGTGATACCTCAACGAATCTCAATTTTCTTCAAGAATATGATTTTTTCATTATTTCTCCCCATTTTTCTCAATTAAATCTATGTCACTTCTGGACTCCTTTCTGGGTTACACACACACATTTTAGAGGGTTTTAATTTGGACAAAAAGCAAAACCAAACACCTCCAACAAAAGCATCTCCAGCTCCATTCGTGTCCACAAGTTGATCAGGAGAGATTGACATGGGCGGGAACTCCTGCACACAACCTGCTGTGAAGCGTTAAAAAGAAAATGTTTAAAATACCTTTGAATCTTCTGACCATAAGATTTTTCTTCACAGTTGAAATATAATGTCTGTACTGATCAGAGTCTGGGAGTAAGACGGTAATAAACTCCAATACTCAAATAGACGAAAATTATGTATATGATATGAATACCCGAAAAAAACAGTACAAAACCAGAAATATAACATAAGGCAGTGTGGGAAACATTATTACCACAGGCAATTCAGTAGGCCAACTTGTATTATATTCTATCAAAGAGGTTATTGCATTTTTATTTTTTTTTAACCTTACTCAAATATTTTAGAAGTTCTTATCATAAAAGGAAAACTAGGCATTTGTGCTTACTCAATAACAATATTTCATTTAGTCTTAACAAAGAGTTTAGTGCATCAAATCAAAATGTGTGCAATATGCTAACACATGATACGGTGGCAGTGAAACTCCCCTTACCCTGTACAAAAAGAGCTGGCTTTTCGCCCTGAGTGACGACAACCACACGGGGCATGCGGTGCTCTCCGGAGACCTCCCATTTGGACAACAAGATAGCAGCTTCAGCTCTACTATGTACCTGCTTTGAAATAACCAAAAGGAAAAAAAAGCCTGAAGGAAAACAGAGCACCTAGATAGTACACTATACTGTCCTCCTTAACCCAGTTTATTTGTTGATGTTGCAAAAGGCTTTAACTACATGCAGCTGTAAATAAAAATATTTGCCATTTAAATCTTTTCAAAATTTCAATATGATACAGGTTCTTCCTGATAAGATCTTGTGTCTTAATGAAAGGTACTTTATGCCATTTTCCATAGTTCAGCCAGCTGCTAAAAGATATAGGAATTGCACCATAGGGACCAGCAAAGGAATGGTTTGCAATATTAGCTGCACTGGTATTTGTACAGTGGAACTCGGATTCAACGAGATCGCCGGGCCTGACCTAAAATCTCGTTGAATCTGAGTTTTCGTTATAGCAAACATGAGGTTTTGTGTAGATAATATAATTACAGCCACTGAGCAAGTAATGTGTAAAGAGAAGTAACAAGTAGTGCTTGAAATGCCTGCATATTATGAGCTGTGTAAAAAAAAAGACAGATTCGTTCAAATGCACGACTGTGTCATCTCGATTGTTTGTCAAAAAGTTGTGTTGCTGTGTAGAGCCTAGCATACAGCAACTTTTGATTCCATAGACCAGCACACAATTCATTACGTTCTACGTCAAGACTAGCTTGTCATTGTAATAATGATCAGTTGCCGAGGGAAAAAAAAAGACTGTGACGCGTTTGTATCTGCGACGTTCAACGCCCGGACAGCTTGTGCCCCCCCCCCCCCCTACCACATACACAGTCACACGTGTGCGGGCCGCCCATCCGACTCCGACACACGCTAGAGTAGACACGTGCGCGTGCCAACAACACATTTGTTGGTATGAAAAAAAGGCCACTGATTGGTCGCATTCAACCGGGTAAGTGAATAATAGTACTCGATACAGGTGAAATGGATGGTTTCCGGGATTAGATAAAATTCGTTCTGGAAGAAAAATGAGCGAAGCCACGTCTGCAAGGGCTGTTCACCCTGGAAGCGACCTCGTTGAATCCGAGCTCGCTGATTTAAGTGCTTGTTGAATCCGCGTTATTTTAATTGATTTTAAAGAAGAAGAAAAAACAGGGAACCTATCTCCTCTCGTTGAATCCGAGTTCTCGTTGAAACCAAGCTCGTAGAATCCGAGTTGCACTGTAGTATGTTACTTTGACAGAATCTCTGAATTATCATAATATATACAAAAAAATGCAAATTCTCTTCAGAGGGCTAGAGGGATTAACAAAACTTATATTAGTTAAGAAGTCAATGCATTGGAACAAACAGCTCAGCGGCAATTATTGTCTTTCATGTGAGTCAGAGAAGATAAAAACTCAGCAAAGTTTTGCAAGCTGATATGTCCTGAAAAGGAGCTCGATTCCATGAACATTTCCAAGGTCAAGACTATTTGGCTGTTGCCTGATTACTTCAAACCCTAGGATACTTTTCCGATCCAGGCAAACCCCCGGATAATATACATACTTGTTAAAACTAAATTTTGTCAGATATATAAGTGCCTTTATTTATGCAATGTGCACAAAGAACTTTAACAAGCATATTTTTGTCATTTTTCACCGAAAGTATAGGCAGTCTTGCATGATATAGGGTTTTTACCTCCTTCTATAGGACACTAAACATATAATACCAAATGGTCTAACACTAAATTTTATGATAATAATAATAATAATAATAATAATTGCATTTATATAGCGCATATCCCTGCTCAAGAGCATGCTCTATGCGCTTTACAACTATTATTACCCCAGCAGACCCTCTGAGAACACTCAGAAACATTCTCGGCTTCCGCAGAAGCATACAGTCCCCCCAAGTTGCGGATTTCACGCGCTCAAACACTATCAAACTGACAAGATCGTTCACGGTCTATAGCCAGGTACCCATTTCCACCTGGGTGAAGTGAGGAAAATTTGTGCAAAGTCCCTTTCCCAAGGGCACAACGTCGGGCCCCTGACGGGATTCGAACCCACGATCTTACAGTAGCTAGTCTGAGAGCCTAACCACTAGGCCACCGACGTCATGATACTTCAAAGCTATTCTCTAAATTTTCCCAACATAAATCAAGTGACAGATCTAGAAAAAATGCATTAGTTTACCTTAAAACCACAGATTTGAATGAATTCATCAACTTCCTGTTAGAAAAAAAAAGAACAAGCAAGAATTAATACCACTCCTCTTTATCTTTTTTCTCTTTGTCACATTTGAACAACTTACAAGCCAACACATCATTTAAAGATTCACTGATAGTTTCACATACATGTAGGCCTAGTAGGATAGGATTTCATACTAAAATCAAATAGAAGTTTTCAAAGTGAAGGATAAACAATGTCAAACAAAGAACACTTTGCTCTTATAATTTCAAGTCGATGAAGAGATTAAGTATTTCTTTAATGTCAACACTCACACACACACACACACACACACACACATGCAAACATAGACACACACACACACACACACACACACACACACACACACACTCACACACACACATATATACATGCACATATACACACAAATACACATATGAGCTTTCAACAGAGGATCAACCAAATTTTTCTACCCTACACCATGGAGAAATAAATTACATGGGAAGTACAAATGTAAAAAAGTCTCAAGATCCTTTCTGTCTTTTTTTTTTACCTCACCATTTCCAAACAACACATCTATGAAGGGCATAAGACTTTGAAGATGGTTTGCATATTTCTTGCAAATGTTCACTGAGGCAAGATTCAAGCTGAACACTTTTTCTTTTGCTTTACTGGTTTGTACGGCAAGACGATGAACTCCATCAGGGCAATGAATCAAGGTGAATCCCTGAGAGACAAAACACAAAAGGTAACATTAGGTCTTAAAAAGTAAGGCAATACAAATGAAAGAAGACAAAGTGATGTAAGATTATACAGATAAAAAGAGATTAAGAAGTAAGAAAAAAAATATGAATAAAGAAAGTCTGAGACAAAGAAAGATCAGATACAGATAAAAGGAGATATTGATAAGAAAAATTATAAGAATAAAAAGAGATATATCGAGAAGTGAGAAAAGATAATCAAAGGATTAAATCTTAAGTAACATTCATGTTTAATTAATTACATGATAAGTAATATAAAATTCTTAAAATAAAACCAAATAAATAGAGTTCCATAAAGCCCATTCACCATTAACACAAAAAAATATTATCTAAACTTATCCAGTACAAATTTCACACTGCCCAAGATCTTGATACCTCTAAGAGGAAGACAAAAAAGATTACAGTTCTCTACAACTAGTTCTATTTCCTTCGAGCAAAAATGTACATTTTATAAATGATGACTTCTAAAACAACAAGCACTAAACACAATAAGCTATAAATGGACATACAAGGTGTTGAGCCAAAAAACAAAATTTCGAAAAAAAATTCCCAACCGGCCAAAAATTGCTGATTTTTCGCATTTAATTATTTTGACGGGCGCCTGATTTTACCACGATGACTCACATATGACATGTACAACCAAAGGACATGAGCAAGAGGAATGCCTAATTCTAGACAGACTTAGACCAGTCTCATTTCCAGAGCCTAAGAGATGAGCAACTTTGAGGCACAATGACCAGTCATCACCCTTGTGAAGAAGTTCGGCATCGCCATCAGAAGAAGGATGAAGAAGAAACACAACAAAAGGTTTCAATGAGGATAGAGCTACTGAAAACTTTCCACATATTGGAATCTTGAAGAGTGTACAAATAAATGAAAGTCTGCAACGTCAGACGTCTATTCATTCATTTTCTGAATAAAGAAATTTAAAGAGCCAACAATACTGATAAATGGTAACTACTGACAGCAAAAACGTACTGAACAATAGTAATACTTGGCTTCTTGAATAACTTCTTGAGTCTGTGCTTGGTCCAAGTAGTCATGGGAAAACAGCTCCGCAGCTCCACCATGAGTCACCAGAGACCTGAAGAATTATGGAGCCATTAATACAGAAGGAAGGCCCTAGCAAAATATCCCTTTCTAAAATCAAAATAAATATACCACAGAAAGATCAAACATGATTTTTTCAGAAACTAATGATCAGATCTATTTTAAATAGTTTTTTCTGAGATGCAAAACCAAATGATAAAATTATTCACATCTCTGAAAGCCTACAGTTATCCAATTTTGTATCCACAGAATATTATAGAAATACAAAATGACAACGAAACTGCAAGAAAAGAGCAGGAAGATGACAAACGTGAAGAAAGAACATTCAGCATTTTGATACTAAAATATTTGCATTAACTCTTTATCTCCGAGGGGGGTAAACCCACGATGTCAGGGATTTTTGGTGCTAAATCAAAAATGACAAAATTGTCATTAAATGGGTCCTCACATCAAAACAAGCAAACTTATTTTGACCGTTCTTCATCTAAAGAATAAACTTCCGGTAAAAGAGACCTGTTTTCAGTAATTGCCAAAAAGTAATTTGATGTCAAAGTCAAGGTAAAGGAATGTGCCCGAGCGGCAGCTCACCGGCATGGTGGTTCCGACTGCGAGCCGCTGGCTGCGGCTTGCCGGAGATAAAGAGTTAAAATATTTGGTCAGTTCGGTCTGCAATGTTTAAATTATAAATATACTGTTAAAAGAGAACAGCTAATACACAATTAGTGCTATCAATAACAGTATATCAAAGTCCTGCTGTAAAAAAAGTTATAATTTGCAAAGCCATGCAAGATACAATAACACTGTCAAAACTTTTCCGGAATTTCTTACACACATGTGCTTTGCGAACTCCATTCTCTGCTATGGTACATCTTTGAAAATGAAGATCTAGCACAAACCTGTTGTTTTCAGTACAAATAGCGAGACACGTTCCCGTCGGCCTCTCATTTTTTATCTGAAAGAAACACTTGACACCAGCCTTCTCCATCTCAGCGGCGACTGTCTTTCCAAATTCATCATTGCTGAGACATCCAATAACTGCTGTTGATCCAGGGATATCCAGGCACCACTTGAAAAACAGGACGTGGAAGGAAAAATCACAACACGAAAAAGACGGAAGTTGGAAAACTCACTGACCACTTAATGACAATGTATTTGTGCAACTGAAAAACTATTTAAACAAGATAAAAAGTGTCCACCTAGAATGTACTTGGAACAGTAAAATTCAATAATACAGTTGCAGCAGATCATCAAAGGAAAAATAGCAAAGTTTGTTAAAAGCAACAACAAAACTAAACAGGACATTAATCTGAACTTAAGCTCAAGCTCCATGTTTAACAACAAAAAATGGGTAATTCATGTCAGCCATGTAATTACGAGGGGAAAATGATATAATCCAATTTTATTTTTGGGTGAACAAGGAAAAGAAGATCTGATTTTATTATATTCCTAAGTTTAACAATAATAACATTTGTTGAAGATAAGGTCAAGCTGAGGTCCATAATCACCTTTGAAAATCAGCATCAATTTAAAAAATAAAAATGAAGATAAAACATCCATACTCTCTGAAATTACCCAAGCTAAAATAGGTGTATATCAAATATTGTACTTTTTACTACAACTACTATCAATTCAAGCAGGACTACTGTGAGCCAAATCAACAAACCTTACCTGAGCCACTCTTATAGTATTCAGCGTTGCACCCCCTGGAGTGTAATGTATGGTGTCCTGGTACGTCACTGCTACATGGTCGAAGCTGATCCACAGTTTTCAAAATAACAGAAATACATTCAAATAATTTCTTTCGTGTAAGTTCACAATGACTTAATTGAAAACATTATTCCTGTGCAAAACTCAAAGCTCTCTTCTCTCCCCCCACTCCCACCCCTCTCTCTTTCCCCCCATTTTCCCTCTGTCTGTCTACTCCTCATCCATCTATTTCTCTGCCTTTCTCTCGGTATGACATGGTATAGGCTTTATGCTCCACTTTATACTGTAAGGTTACAATTTAAGAAGAGGAACCTCAAATCTAAAGCCCATCTCAGAAGTCCAACCTGTTATCAGTTAAGCTATCAAATGTACACTCTCTCACACAAACATGCACTCACACACATAAAAATACACACATATGCGCACGCACACACACACACACACACATACACACACACACACACACAACTTTGCATGAGCACACACACTTTATCTTAGAGTATCAACAAAGGCCGTATTTAAATCACAAGAAGAATATAAAACTGGACTGCTCGTACCTTAAATCTTCTTCACCTGATGACTATGGTGAGAAAATATTCAAGGAAAAAAAAATCTGGTGCTGAAATTAATGCAGTTTCACACAGTACATACTAAAGAACTTTAAGACTCCCTGAAACATTCTGATTTAGTATGATGACATGCTAATGGTCCACTGCCTCTTCTCTCTCTCCCTCCCACCCCCTCCCCTACTTGTCCCCCCTCCATCCCCCCACCCCCATGATAAATTGAAAACCAAAGGACAAGTTGATTTTACAACCCAATAAACATTTGTCTCCACATGAACATCTTTGCCAGTCATTAATTAATACATAACTCACATAGACAACAGATCTCCTGATGCATGAACACAACTATCAGCTTTCAAACCAAATCTGAAACAAAATTAAGGAGACAATGGAAAAACAATGATAAAGTTTAGACAATGTTGCACAAGAACTACAAAGATCTTCCGGCTCAGATGTCATAAAATAAGATTCCCCTTGTAGACGCTGTATGAGTCTGAGTTTACAGAGGAGGAGGAAAAGGTTTCAGGCGGAGGATTTACAAGAATACCCAGATCTACAAATGTAATAACAAGAGAATCTATCTATTCATAGATAATAACAAATTCATATATTACCATATTTAGCAAGGCTTCACATTTATACTTTGAAGGGGTGAAATGGTATAGGTTTAACGCCCCTATCAACACTATTAGGTTATTTAAGGGGCGGGACCTCCTAGTTTTAACGTCCGTCTCCGATAGGACTGAGCCAAGTGGGAAGTTCGTGTAAAGTGCCTTTCCCAAGGACACAACGTCGGACCGAGCTGAGGCTCGAACCCCCGAACTCGCAATCTCACGATTACGAGTCCGGTAGCCTAAACACTAGGCTACCGACGCCACTACATTTATACTTTCTAGAAATTTAAACTCAGCTTTTATTAATAAAAACACATATGTGGGTGAATTGGGGGTGGTGGATGGTCGCGTATTAACTTCATCCTGTACGTGTTTGTAAAAGGCTCATCTTACTTTAATTGAAGTGAGGGTTCTAAGAACTGAATGAGAAAATCAGTACACTATCAGTAAAGACTGGGAAATGTCCAAATTGTCTTTAGCAGGCATTCATTAATCTTTCTATCCATCTGCTGTGTCTGTCTATCAATCCTTCCTCATAACCAACTTCTTCATCTTTTCCATTGACATCTCTAGTATTATTTGTAGGTTACATCCAGCCACCAAATCATATATCTGTTTATCAATCCCTCATTCATCCAAATACCTCTCCATCTATCAGTCCATAAATCCATCTATCTGTCTATCCATCCATCTATCGCTCCATCATTTCTTCTATCTGTCCATCTATCCATCCATCCTACCTGTCCAGCAGTTCCTGGTCGCCATCAATGACTATGTCCAAGAGAGGACTGCCGAACCCCAAAAGTTGTACTGCCATCAACCCCTCCGACATCAACAGGTGGCTGTGAGATCACTTTTCCTCAGGCTCTGACATTGACAGATCACAATGAGCTCACCTTTAACTGGAATAGATAGCTGCATGCTCACTTTTTCTCAGCAATGCAAATTTTAATTCTGCAGAAAATTAATGGTTGATCTTTGAAAGTCTGTAGAGAATGAGATATCTGATGTGACATTTAGCAAGACCAGACCATTGTTATCAGAAAACATTTACATGATACATGTTACAAATGAGGAAACAAAACTATATTTTCAAGTTTAAGTTCATGCACTCATATCATTCACATATGAAATTGAAACAAACAGGTAGACAAAAATACCTTTTTAGCAGACAGACAGACAGACAGACAGACAGACAGACAGACAGACAGACAGACAGAGAGACAGGCAGGCATGTAGGCAGACAGATAGAAAGACAGACATTGACAAGCAAATGGGAAAAAAGAAAATCTCTAGAGCTAGAATGTTTTTAGAGAAACATTCACCCTTTGTGTGTTATTCAATGGGCCTGCTTGCCTACTCCAGAATATTATTTTTTAAATCAAATTCTTAGTAATGTTCATTGCCTAAAATAGCTTTCATATTCTCTTTGTCTGATTTCCATTTTCCCCCCGCACTGTCTTCACTTGCAGTACCCCTCTTTAAACATCTTTCCCTACCATTTTTGCATTATCTTTTCAACTTTGTTTTGTTTTTGAAATCTGACTCTGGATATTGATCTAAAGTATTCACTTACTACCACGCGAGCACGCACACACACATATATGACAAACAATTCAAACATTGCTCGGATTTGTTTTTGTTTTTTGATTGTCTTTTTGTTTGTTCTGTTTGTTTTGTGTGGGTTTTTTTGGGGTTTTTTTTTTTTTTTTTTGGGGGGGGGGGGGGGTTAAAAATCACATTTAAAGGGATTAGCCTAGCCTACTAGGGGGGAAATAGGCCTACTTAATGTTAACCATCGAGACATTGATGTGTAAAAGTATGCATCGTTGACCTTGTTCTCGCACTCGCAGTGAAAAACGTACACCTACCAAATAACACACTGGCGCACAACAGGAGCTATCGCGGTGTGTAGTGTGCGTTAGACTGGCGTGGAGTTACTGTGTTGGAACGGTATACAGTACACACTATCTACACATAACCGCGCCGCTGTACTGTGTGTCCATGCCTTCTGCTGTGACACGCTGACAATGATATGATGCTCCGACTCATCCCTTTCCATTAGCCTACACCTAGACGGTCATATAATCAGGCCACCTGCGCGCTACTGACCTAGATTCCTTGTGGGCTTACACACCCGTGTAGTAAGCCCACAACCTTGTAGATCATTAGTAGTGATAGGCCTACGCAGGGTGCGGCGGTCAGTTTGAATTGTTGT